TCTCTTTCTTCAGGTTTTTATAGCTCCACAACCCTTTCTTCTGGTTTTTACAGCTCCACGCCTTGGTATGTTTTCTTTAATCTTCTCCTTTGTATTTCCCCATTAAATTCAACTGTATGGTGGGTTTCTCTTGATAGCCAGCTGGATGAGGTCTCACCTTCTCACCTTATAGGACCATGTAAAAGGGATACCATAGGAACTGAGGTAATCATATTCTGTTTTTGCTAAATTTCAAAGTGGGATTCATATTGAGATGTATACACATAAAAGAGGTGTTTAAATATAGGGTCTGCGAGTGTATTAATGTTTAAACATTATAGAACTGGAAAGAATAGGGTCTGCTTCAGGCAAAGATACAATACCTACCCTGCTTGTGGCAGGGGAGTTCGAATTTGATGATCCTTGAGGTCCCTTCCAATTCAAGCTATTTTATGTACTCATTGTCATTTGAGACACCTTAAAGCACCTGAACAATGGAATAGAGCTGATGTAGACGGTGAAGTACCTGCAGGAGGCCTCTGAGCTGTGAGAGGTGGGAGATTCTCTGCAACATCTCAAATGAGCCCATTTGCCACTGCTCATGAGGTAGACTTAAGACCCATTCAGTGATAAGCTCACGATAAAGCAGGAATCTGCTTATGCTTAGCTAAAAATTTGGACCAGAAGGACATGCTGGAGAGCTCTACTCCAGCAAAAGGGCAACAGTTCTGCCACTTTAAAGGGATATTCAAAGCTTTCAACCAAAGAAATCTTTATTTGAAAAGCACTTGCATGCCATTAGTAAGGAAAAGAAGGGTGGCAATGGCTTTTTTTTTTTTTTTTTTGCTTTGTTGTTGCTGAGCTTTAAACAGGAAAAAAAGACAAACAGAGCTTTTTTGGTTGTATAAGGCACAAAGATAATATAACTACGGGAAAATATATTCTTGAAATATCATTAGAGAAATGAAATTACAGGAAAAAAATGATAAAAACACGTACTTATATGCACATACACATAATCACGTGCAGACACAAATGTATATGCTATTACTTAGATTTTTACAAAAAAAAATTTACAGGCAGCAATTGCTAGAAGACACTAGGAATAGGCATTGTTTATAATAAGGATATAAGTTCTGTCATATGATATTACTTGATTTATCCGAGGTTGAAAATTAGAGCAGCATATATTCCCAGCCTTCATGTTTTCAAAAAAAAACAAAAAAAAAGAAAAAACAAAAAAAAGAAAAAAAAAAAAAAAAAGAAAAAAAAAAAAAACCAAAGGCAGAAAATATCATTTCACAGATTATAGGGATAAAATTACAAAGGCTAAAGAAGGAGAGAGGAATAAATAAGGAGAGAGAGACAGGACTGGAAAATAAGTGGGTAGTTATCTGCAGTACTGCTGCCCCTAAATGTGGAGTTGACATCATAAACATGGCAAACTTTTCCTGCTGTTGTGATCTACTGGATCCAAAAAGAACTGGGTCTAAAGCCATAACCATGCCATATTCCTCTCTGCTCAGATGGGAGAAACTAAGAGGAGGTTTTCACAACTCTGCATGTGCCTGGAGAAAACAATAAAAACATCCATCTTCAAAACAGGCAGGAATGAGGATGCAGGGAACTATAAGAGGATCAGCTTCACTATATTTCCTGAGAGGTTTACAGAGCAGAGACTCATAGAATGTCTCCAGGCCCTTGAAGGGCAAGGTGATCACTTGACCTGTGAGCAGAGAAAATTGGATTTGTTCTGCCTGGGAAAATGAAGGCTTCAAAGGAACCAAATAGCAGCCTGTCAACAACCATGACATGGGGAGGTCACCAAGAAGACACAGAAAGTTCTTCACTGTAGTATATGCTAGGAAAGTGAGAAAAATTAGTCATAAATTGAAAAAAGACGTTTTTATCAGATATTATGAAAAAGATGTATATACTTACACCAAGGATAATTAAATAGTAGAAGAGTAGAGAGGTACTGAAATTGATTTTAATCCAGATAATTAGATATAGCACAACCCTGGGCCTACCACATAATAGGTGACATTAGTGTGTGTGTAGCTAGACACTGGGAAGGAGATTTATCCCTTCTGTACACACATGTGGAATTGCACTACAGCTGGTCCAGATTTGGGCTCTTTATGCAATATAAAAAGAAACTGATAAACCAGAGAGGGATCAGAGAGGCCCACTATGATGTCTAAGTGCTACAGCACAAGACTTGCAAGTTGAAGCCTGAGTAGCTAGACTTCTCCAGTCTGGATATAAGTGAAGCACAGGGAATCAGTAGCTGTCTTCAACTCTTTGAAGTGCAACTGTAGAGAGAACTGAGATAGACTTTTCATGGGGATGCACTGTGGAAGTACAAGAGGCAACAACCTTTAGAGAGAGTAGATCTTGAACTGCTCAAGATCTTTTGTCTGATGATCTCCCAGCGTTTTCTTCACACTCCTTCCTCACTCCTTTCAGCCTATAAGATGTACTGAAGGCATGCCTAGGGAGGAAGGTACAATGCCATTTAGGCTCAGGGAGAAGCAATACTGACTTTCATACAACCAGGAGAAAACTGGTTCATATCACAGAATCATAGAAACATAGAGTGGTTTGAGTTGGAAGGGCCTTTAAAGATCATTTAATTCAACTCCCCTGTAATGAACAGGGGCAACTACAGCTAGATCACTGTGCTCAGAGCTCTGTCCAACCTGACCTTGAATGTCTCCAGGGGTGATGCTGCACCTCTCCAGGCAACTTGTTGCAGATCAGATCCTGTTTAACTAATGTTCCTATGGAATGAATGGAAAATGTCCACAAAAAGTAAATCCAGCCAAAAAAATCTAATTTTTGTTAGATCAAAACTTCAACTCAGATCATGAGAGCCCATCTGAATTTCTAACTATTTTGTGTCTTTCTTTAAAACCCAAAGAATTGGAATTCTGCAAAGCTCAATACTTGGCCCTGCTTTACCAGAGATGGGGCTCTATGTTCCCATCTGAAAGGACTGACTTTAATTTAAGTACATCCAAGACAGTGAGATCATTTGGGAGTCCAAGACATTATGTCCTAAGGTCTCTCATTCCTCAGGACCCCTTGGCAGTCATTCCCAATATGCCTTGTTGAATGAAACAAATCTAGTTCTAGGATAAATAGAAACATGTTTGTTTTGGCCCTGCTGCCTGGATGTTTTCCCAAAGGTTTTGCTCAGTTTTAAGTAGCTATCCTTGCCTTCTGCCTATACAGCAATGGAACGAGATGTCAACAGACCTTGGCAGATTCACACACATCGCATGGTGCCAGAAGAACAGACCTGCCTCAGAATAATTGTTCCTGATAGACTATTGACTCTGATTAGGAAATGCACATTAACATCTTTATTCATTTAGGCCTCACTTGTAGAAGGTAGCCTCCTTAAGTGTTCTATCATCTGGAATATTAAATCAGGAATTAAAAATGACAGGATGGACAATTTGGCAGCAAGTGTTTAATTAGGTAATAAATTAAAGCCCCTGAGAGCAACAAGGATCTGTGGCATCTCTCTCTTTTTTGGATATGGCTCATACTGTTTGTCCAATGTACTACAATCCCTTATTATAGACTACAGATGGAGAGACACGCCCTTTGCAGGTCCACACTCCTTTCTGTTGATTTTTGCAAAGCCACATTGACAGGAGGAAAACAGAATTATTATCACTCCAAGTGCTTCCCTGCTGATGCATTTGGCTGATCTTCCAAAATGTTACATGCAACTTGTCTTCAGTATTACCTATAACTCTTGTTCCAGACTTCCATATCTAAAACTAGGCATTTCATGGTCTATTTCCCCTGATTTTGTAATGTTTTTTCTAGGATTTTGGAATATCTTTATTGAGAATGAAGAATGGAAAATGCCTCTTAGCTTCCTGAAGTCCCAGTGGGTGGGATGCCAAATGTCAGATCATATGTTGATATGGGAAATTGAATTCTTTAGTTGCTCGCTTACTCACATTGGGCAGAAAGGTTGGTGCTGGGCTGGAGCCAGAGTTTTGTATCTCAAAATCACACATTGGGTCTTAATGAATAACAGACTATCCTCTTCATCCTAATCTGGGCCCTCACACTACCATGCTTCAATGGAAACTGTGTCATGGTTCCTGGCCAAGAACATATGGCGATGGACACATGGTAGAAAGAGAGCTGGAGCAGGAGACCACAGTGACTACCATGGAGAATAAATACTACTGGACAGGTTTGCAAGTCTTTCTTTAACTTTTGTTTCATCCACAGCTAAACTTTCTGTTTTAGGTCATTCAATCTTTTTCTTTTCTTTTCTTTTCTTTTCTTTTCTTTTCTTTTCTTTTCTTTTCTTTTCTTTTCTTTTCTTTTCTTTTCTTTTCTTTTCTTTTCTTTTCTTTTCTTTTCTTTTCTTTTCTTTTCTTTTCTTTTCTTTTCTTTTCTTTTCTTTTCTTTTCTTTTCTTTTCTTTTCTTTTCTTTTTTTTCCCCTCTTTCTCATTCAAGCTTTTCTTTCTCTTCAGTCAATTTCTACAGGGGGAAAAAAAAAAAAAAGTTGTTTGTTTCAGTACTACAAAGATTTCTGTCCTTAACATGGAAATAAAATTATTCTCTGTTTTTGAAAATGTTACCTAACCTCAACAAAATTATTGACTGAATTTCCTCCAGTTTGGAAAGACTTTTTTTTAATTTTTCTGAAGCTCTGTACAGAAAAGTGCAATTTGAGAATCTGTTCCCCACACCTATGAGGCTCCACATCCACTATTCTCCTACTATGCAGCCTATAAAAAACATTGCCTTATCCCATTCCCAGTGGAATCTGCAGGCAAGGGGTATATAAAACCAGAGCCGCACTGAACCTATTTTTATTAACACTTCTGGAAAACAAGATCATATGAGGACAACAGAAATGTTTTAATGCTATCCTGAAGTCCAAGAAAGGAGAAAATTACAAGTATAACTGTCTTCTATATTTTATAACTAGGAAAACACTCCAATGGTAAACCCATAGAATCAGCAAGACTTTCTTATATGTTTTTTACATGTTTTTTCTTTGTCATCGATCTCTATTCTGCTTGGATGCTGAAATGTTATTACCGCTGACCAAATAAATCCACCATTCATCCGTAGACATTTTCTCTCTTCTTGCAAATTCTTATGCATGGCTTGAGTGTGTGGACTCATGGCACTGCTTCTGGATTCTTTGTGCTGAGAAGTCGGCAGTTGATGGGCTTGAAGTATGGGTCAGAAAAATAGTGGTTGAGAAAAAGTCTGTCAAAATGGACAACTTTCTCTCCATTGTTCCAGCATCCATCGATGTATGGGATTAGTTCTCTATCATGTTGGAGAAGAGACAAAAAGAGTGCAGAAACAAACTCATTAAAAACCTCGTCTCCACAATCACTGTAGATTAAGCAGGCTGGAGAGAATCAGTACAGCTTCCTGCCACAGCCACACAAATCTGGTAATTCACATATCAAAAAAAAAAGAAAAAGAAAAAGAAAAAGAAAAAGAAAAAGAAAAAGAAAAAGAAAAAGAAAAAGAAAAAGAAAAAGAAAAGAAAAAGAAAAAGAAAAAGAAAAAGAAAAAGAAAAAGAAAAAGAAAAAGAAAAAGAAAAAGAAAAAGAAAAAGAAAAAGAAAAAGAAACTGTCAAGAACATTATCAGTTAAATATCTCAGTAATTAATGTATTTTCAATGTACCTTGTGCTGTTCCTGTAGGAGGCTGCAGTTGCTGACAATTTGTGATAATAGTTAAAAGGATTTTTTTCAGTGCATTAAGAATACCAATGGGATGAACTGTGTATTATATGGCCACTATGCCACTATGTGTGCAAACCTACAGACTCAGAATGAAAGTTTTCCCTTTCTATGTTAATTTCACATTCAGTCAACTTGCATGTATGTATACAGAAATAGGTAAGTCAGGGCATTTAGAAAGGAAGAGTTCTTCAGGTGAAGTAGACTAAAATTCTTCAGTTTTCAAGGTATAGACCATGCATACACATAGGTCACAAAGCAGAGGTCCCCAAAATCAGAAATGACATGGAAAAAAATAAGAAGTAAGGATTAGATGTTTACTTTTTTCCAGTACAAATATTAGGAAACAGCGAAATGATAAATATTATTTAAAAAAAAACAACAACTAACCATTGTCATTTCAGTTGTGAGCAGCAAACATTAAACCTGTTGTTCAGTGATTCTTTGATAGAACAAGAGTTGCTAAAAGCAGAAAAATAATCAAATCTGATTTCAAGGTTGAACTGATTCTGAGGGATAAGAAAAACTTCATTTTGTTGTAAAACATTTTCATGAAATCTAAATGAGATGATGAGCTTTTCTGCTCTAATTAAAAAAATATATTATTTTTGATCAAAATTGGGATGCAGCATTTTGTTTTCAGACTACTTATGTGACCATTTCCAGCCTTACAAAGTTAAAACCGACCAGCCTTTCAACCTTCCAGGCCAGGTTGGTTAGGGCCCTGAGCATCCTGATTTAGTGGGTGGCAACTCTGCCCTTGGTATGGTGGCTGGAACTGGAGGATCTTTGAGGTGCCTTCCAACTTCAGCTCTTCTATGATTCTTCATTCTTCCTAGAAGAAAATAAACGATTGTTAAATGAAAATAACATGAAAAAAAGGTAAAAAAAGAAGTTTTTTAAGGAATCACAGAAATGACATGCATTTTCTATTTTGCTCCTTGTACGTTTATTTTCTATACCAATCTAGATGAAATCTAGCCATTCATTAATAATTCCAGTCATTGCAAAATTTCGTATTTTTGGAGAATTTATATTCTAGCAAGAAAAAGTAGATGTTTGCTCTCTCCTGTCTAATTAGTAAATTGCTTTAGGGTCCTTGCATTACCTTAGAAGCCTTTACTTTTCTGCAAAATAGTTGACATTTATGATATTTTCCCATTTTTTTTCTAGGAGGCTTTGGAGGTGGTAAATTGTACATGACAGTTATTTAGTTGTCTAAAGTGCCACATAAATAACTCCTTACGTGTTCTGAGTATTCAAACAAATTCTGGCCACACTGAATGTAAAGGAAGTGAATAAAGCCAGACCACCTTCTCTTTTGAGAAAGTAATTTTGTCAGTAGTTGTATTGCATGATTTGTTAAATATAGTATGCAGCTTATTAGTAATATAAATCTACAACCTTGGACAACGATTGCCCCCACTCACAAGTCCAAATGGGATTCAGAATTTCATTTAGGCAAGCCCAGTATCTGGGAACTGCAGTTACTGGGATTTCATGGAATCACAGAAGGATTAAGGTCAGAAAGACCACTAAGATGATCTAGTCCAGCCATCAGCCCATCACCAGCATACCCACTAAACCATGTCCCTCAGTGCCACATCACTGTGTTTCTTGAATATCTCCAGGTACAGTGAATCCACCACCTCTCTGGGCAGAATTTCTTTCTAAGAAATTTTTCTTAATATCCAACCTGACCTCCCCTTCTCCCCATTACATCTTCTCCTATTTCAATAAAGGATGCTGCATTTTTGCAGAAACGTGCCTCAATAAAGTTACAATAGGAGTAATTCACCTCTACACATACTGAGGAAAACAATCACATTATTTCAGTGATTTATTGACTGAACAAGAATTAACACAGCAAGCATGAGTATCTATAACTGTATCTGGGAATTATTTTTTTAATTAATCAGTTTCTCTAATATGTTCTCTAAGATTCCTGCTCAGGAGTTGAAAAAACTTCAAGCAGCTGCAAGGCTGAAAGACTCTCCAGACAGTTAGTGTCCTCATTGTGTTTGGTCTAGTTCAGTGAATGTCTCTGGTGACAAGTGCTTGTTGATGAAGCAAATGACTAATTGACACATTTAATCAAAACTCTTTATAATGGCAGTGGAAGAAATATTAAACTTGCTGCTTGTCTTTTTTTTTTTTTTATATTAAGCACATGTGGAAACAGAAGGAGAGGAGAAGAAATACAATATTAAAATGATCATACAGATTTCTGGGCTTGAATTCAAAGTCTGAGAGTTACAAAACACTTTGTAAATCTGGTCTAGCAAAGAACTTCTCATATCTGATAGCCAGTTTTCATCATATAAACTTCACTTCTTTCCCATAAGTGAAGACATTTTTTGATAAAACAAATTTGCATATCTACCTATATACTTGCCATAATTTGATTATATGTTATTAATTCTATGTACCATGTTCAGCTGTTGATTTACTTTGTCTTTCCAGTAATTTTTATCATTTCTATTCCAAACTCGTTTGATGGCTCATAGTGTGTTTGCATAGATGTTTCCACAATAAGTCCCAAAGAAGTCAGAACCTTTATTTTATACTGCACTAGAACTATTCAATAATACTAAGAAGAGCCAGTTTTTCTTTGATAGCTTCTAAACATTTAAATCATATAGAGAAATGTATCTTCCATCTCTCTTTCACTCTTCAGACATTTTCTGCTACAGCACAGAAGAGATCTTAAAAATGCCATTTAACTTCATGCCCTTGAGTGGGATTTCCAAGGCTTCTGAAATTTGGCCCCAGTAATGGGTGACAAAGGAAACCCTGAGAGTTTCATTAGTCGTAGATAGTAAAGTAGTCTCCACAATGGTTAGGAGATACTCTCTGCAAAGCCTTGAATAATAGGAGTTAACATTAATTTAAAGCACTGAACCATTTGTAGTTGGTTATTTTCATGGCATAGCTGAGTACAAGTTGGAATATTTTTCTCATCTTTGTCTGATGTCCTAGGCAAAGATTTTAATTATATGTTTATTTGCAGTATGTGGTCCTGACACCAGATGTCACTGCATGATGCAGAGAACTTTAGAAGTGGTCCATGGTATGGTAAATAAATGGAGAGAAGGTGGTGCAAGAGCTGTTTGGAGCCATTTTTTTTGCTATTTACTTACAGGTATTCTCTTGAAGAAACATATCTTGTACAGTAATGAAAATGACTCTTTACATCAGTGATCCAAAGAATGAGTAGTAATGCATCCTTAAAACAGCTCACTTAATTATTTATCGTGACTTTATGACAATATGAGGAGGTTTATGCATCTTGAAATCCTTTATTTTAATTTGAAGCATCACTTTCTGAATTCATTGCAAAGATGCCCCCATAAATTATAGAATTGATGAAGCTGGTATTTTTAGCTTAATAATTTTCCATTAGGAAATTGCATTTACCTCTAATCACAAAAATCATGCTCAAATAACAATATCATTATTAATAATTACAAAACAACACAATATCCATTTAAATTATTAGCTAGAAAGCAAATACAAATCACCATATAAAAATGAAGATTGATTAACAATTATACATCCTCAGCCAGGGGAAGAATAGTTACAAATGATTTTTCAAGCAAAGTTAACACAAGTTATTTGTGGACAAGAATAGATATGAAGGTAGGGATAATTGTACATGTCTCATTGTAGGTATCATCCACAATGACAATTATCCTTTCTGTTGTAGGACAGAGCTGAGCACAGCTTTCTCTCAGCTATGTCTGCAGAGAGACCAGAGACAGGAGCAGTTATGGAGCCCGATAAGGTATCTGCTGCTGAAATGGTCCTTTCAGACATCCACAAGGGAGAAAAGAGGAGAGATTTAACTTTCACTACAATTCTGAGAATGCTATTTCAAAGCAGTTAGAGGGCTTTCTGTGATTCTATACATGGTCATGACTTCAAACTCTAAACATCTAAATCTGTATTCTTAATTTTTTTCTTTTCCTGACTGTCTTGATGCATTGGTGGTGAAGCATTTCTCCTTTTTTTTTTTTCTGTCTTTTTTCCAGTCTCATGTTTATACAATCATAGAATCCTTAAGGTTGGAAAAGACCTCTAAGATCAAGTCCAATCCCATCCCATCACCACCATACCCACTTAACTATGTCCCTCAGTGCCCCATTTCTACATTTCTTGAACACCTCCAGGGATGGTGATTCCACCATCTCCCTGGCAGCCTGTTCCAGTATCTTACCCTCTTTCTGAGAAGAAAATTTTCCTAATGTCTAATCTAAATCTCTACTGACTTCAGGCCATTGCATCTAATCTTATCGCTTGCTCACCATAAAAAATCTTTGGGAGCTTGTAGCCAGGGATTATCTTCCTTGGAGAATAAAGAAATATTCAAGGGGCTAATACAGTGAGAGTTAAAAATATTGAAGTGAGAAAAATATTAATGGGTCTATAAACTCCACCAGAATTAAGTTTATTTCAGTAAAGACATCCAGTCTTTACACTGGCTAGTAATATTTATCTAGTCAACAATAATTGCTTAAACTACATTTTGTAAGACTTAATGGGCAACTTCTAGTTGATCATCTGAGACAGTACATATGGGAGAGATATGGATCCATCGTAAAGCTGCCAGAGAAGGGCCTCAAAAATGATACAAGTGATGGAAAATCTCCCCTATGAGGACAGGTTGTGAGAGCTGAGGCTGTTCAGCCTGGAGAAGAGAATGCTTCGGGGAGACCTGAGGGCAGCTTTTCAGTATCTAAAGGAGGAAGAAAGAAGGGGACAGACTCTTTAGCTGGTTCTGTTGTGATAGGGATAGAGAAAGTTCAGATTGGATATAAGGAAGATTTTTACAGTAAGAGTGGTGAAGCACTGGCACAGGTTGCCCAGAGTGGTGGTGGATGGCCTGTCCCTGGAGACATTCAAGGCCAGGCATTCATTGCAGAGGGTTTGGACTAGATGATATTTAAGAGTCACTTCCATCTCAACAATTCTTGTCATTCTTGAAGCCATGTGCAGGTCTGGCTGCTGGCAAGTGAAAACATTTAATTTTTATTACTATTTTGATCGAATCTTTTAATTCCATCTGGGTTGAAATGAACTTTCACGAGTCAAGTGCATCACCAAAATGCTATGAGAACTTTGAATGAAAAATGCAGTTCTCACATAATGCTTTGTGCCAACCAGCAGCTCTTGGTAGATGGCAGCCACTTACAAGAAGATAAACAGAACTCTCTCACTGTGAGAATTTACATTTTGTTTTCCATCTCTTCTGCTCATTTTCTTCAGACTCAAGTCATTCAGTGCTAGAATGATGCTCTGATATGACAATGCCCTCCTAGAAATGATTCAGTTTGAAAACGCTTGTAGATTACTTGAAAGTTCTGAATTTGTAAGGCTGACACTTAAGCAATGGCAAATGAGAACTCCATTCAGCAGTAATCTCTGCAAAACATCTACACACTGAATTAGCTGAAGTCTAAATATCCCTACAGTCTTGATGCACAGATGTATTGATTCAGTTGTTATCTTTCTTTGAAATAAGAAAGAATGAAAGAAAAGCTTGGGAAGATGCATACAGATGTAGTGTGGACACAAATATTTCATCTTAACTGTCAGTGAGTTTTGCAGAAATTTTCATACTGCTGACAGCCAGCTCCTTCCTCTATCAGTCTGTGTTTCTGGGTAGTTACCTGACTCTCATCAGGAGCACTTCTGAGTAATCAGTACCAAGACGAGGCCCTTGATGCTCTAAAACATTTTTGAAAGCATGATTTGTGTGATTTCCCTGGCAAGTGATAAGTAATACAAGAATAACTCAGAAACCGAGGTCCTTGTCTATGCGACTGCAACAAACTC